CTTGTGTAATCATTAGGCAAGATATCATCCTATTATGTCATAGGTTTATTTGAGTTACTAGTGGATTTATGTTTAGTGAAAAGATAGATGTACTGTGATAAAGCTAAATTGTTAACTTCATTTAAAAAGTTCTATAAGGATGTCTTGCTCTTTAGAGGTCTAAAAAGTTGTGATAAAATACAAATACAAAGTTATCTCAAAAAGGCCAAAGATTTCCCGTGCCCTAGCCAAGAGGCTGAGCACAAAACAAAACAAAACAGTGGGCTGGAAAATGAGAAGTCAAGGACTAATGCTATAATGACGACATGAAGTTTGATTTGTATGTCCTGAGGTTTTTAAGGGCAGACATTGATAGATCAGAGATTTGCCTTAGGGACTACACTGGCCCTATAATCTAAAGTACAGGAACTCTTCTAGGCGAAGGACAAATATAAAAGGAATTAGCTTGAAAGACTCATTGGATAAGGTGTTTTTAGTGTTCAAGAGAAAATTTTTGAAAAAGAGTCTCTGGTACCAGGTTTATTTTTATGACACTAGTCAATGAAAACCTTTAAAAGCCATATTTGCAAAGTTATGTATATACTAAATAGTATCCAGGCAGCCAAGAGCCCTGGCTTTTGGTATTTTAGTGAAAGACCCAGGGAACAGTCATCATTATTCATGTAAAATTGTGAATTTTATAAGCAGAAATAAAAAGAAAGGACAAAATATACTTTAAAAGAGTAAGGCATTTTGAATGATAAAAACACTGTACTTTGCTGTTCTAAGTATTCATCTTAATTGAAAATACATTACTGGAGAATTTTTACAGTCTTTTTCTACCTGAACAACAATAACCTCTTAAAAATGTGTGAAAAGAATTGCTTGTTTGCTTCTTTGTCCTTAGTTGAATTTGCTTTGGTAAAATACTGATAAACACATTAGCAAAACAAAGTGGAGGAATTGAGTGATTATCCAGATAATTTTGTCTTTATAAGAACTGTTTTCACCTAAACTATTGAAACTATTTGGTCTGTAACATTTTTCAATACTTTGTAAAATGAATTGTAGAGCTAGGTTCAGCAGTTACCTAGACAAGAGATATCTGTGTGGTGAGCTACCACAAACCTTAGGATAAAGGAATTTTTCTTGCTAGTATAAATTATCTAGTTTTCCTGCTGACATAGCTTCTTTTTATTTTACCTCTGAGGATGCAAGTTACAGGAAATTATAGCACTTTTGGGATATTCTAAGCACTGTGACTTTTTCATGAGGCATACTTTACTCACAAGTTTTCTCTGTTTAGGAATTTCTTATTCTTGGTAATCCCCCAGAAGGATAGCCTATACCAGGACATCCTTTGCAAAATCAGTAATTCATTTCATATTTGATTTGTCATCTACATGTGAACCTGGGGAAGAAAATTATCCTGAAGCTTCCTTGGGCACTGTGATGGTTAATTTCATGTGTCGAATCAACTGGGTCATGGAGTACCCAGATATTTGGGCAAATATTATTCTGAACATTTCTGTGAGGGTGTTTTTGGATGAAATTAACATTGAAATTGGTGGACTTTGCTTAAAGCAGATTGCCCTCCATAATGTGTGTGCACCTTATCCAGTCCATTGAAGGCCTGAATGGAACATAAAGACTGTCCTCTCCTGAGCAAGAGAGAATTCTATAGCATTGTCTCTCAGATTGGAATTGCAGCTTCAGCTATTCTGGATCTACAGCCTTCCACTCAACCAACAGATTCTGGATTTGCCAGTGTGTATAATCATGCAAGCCAATTTCTTTAATAAATTGACATATGCACACACACACACACACACACACACACACACACACACACACACATCCTACTGGCTCTGTTTCTCTGGGAAATCCCAACTAATACAGGTATAAGTATATATCTACAGAAAGATTATCCTATTCTACCCCTTGAGGGGAATATATGAATAGAACAATCCAGATAAGTATGACTCATGCTCAGCAGCCTCTCAGTGATATTATTATATTTTTATAAGAAAAACAAGACAGCCAAAACTATCTGTGATTTGAAAAATGTCATGAGGTCTTTTCACAAGGTGACTTGGATTATGCTTTCTTCTAACTATGGGGAACATTTCTTTGTTTTGTTTCTATCCAAACTACTGAAGAGAAAGATGAAGAAAGAACTTTCTATTCCAAATATCTGATCAACCATCATACTGTAAACTCCTAGAAGATCAAGATACTCTTTTAGCACTCTTGGAAATGGCCCTCATCCACAATCACATGAGAGCAGATCCTTAATAGATGCTCCTAAAGACATGGACTTAAGAGCAAATACATACATACATACATACATAAAATAATAAAATAAAACCAAAACCAAAACAAAACAAAAAATATAAAAAACAAATCAACTAAATGTTCAACTTCACTTTTCCTTCTATGCATCTCTTTAATAATGAAAAAAAAAGGTGGCGGATGTAGGAGACAAGTTAGAATTAGAATTAGTTGAATGAACAATGTAAAAATATTAGAGAATCATGGAATTTAGGCACATGCTATCTTGAAAAACTTCAGAATGGCAATCAAAGGAATATTCCAAAGGTAGGACCTGAACCAAAAAAAATCTTTAGGAAAGATTCATGAGACAGAATGAATGGAGTGGCTGAATATACCAGAAATGGAAGAAAAATCCTAGAGTTAAGAGATGTATTTTTTCATTCAACAGACATTTATTAAACACAGACTGTGTCAAGTGCTATGTTATTTGCTAAAGTACACCAGTTTTGAACTTGGATCAAGACACATAATGCTAGGCAAACATAGACGTAATTTTTCTCCTCATGTGCTACCAACAAATTCTCCAGTCACCACTAGTACCACATTTCAACCTTTAAACGCACATACTTTACCTAGATTCTCATAAGTAAGAATGAGTGATAGTTGTTTTAAAAGTATTTCTCCCATCTGAATTTTTGTTTCTAAAGGAACAATAACTTAAGCCAAAGAGAACAGTAGAAAAGAATAATAAGGTTACAGGAAGGAAAAAGGAGACAGAGAAATAGGAGACAGAGAAGAACAAGATGGGGTAGAAAAAGATTATGGGGAAATACTCAGACCTTCTCATTCTCCTTAAACATACCCAGTACTAGCTATTCTACTGCAAAACACCAAGAGGCACAGGGACAGGCATCCTAAATTCATGATCAAAGATTTATCTAAGAATGTTTTTATTTTAATTTTTTGGGATGTGTGTGTGTGTGTGTGCGCGTGTGTGTGTGTGGCAACTATATTCTGATTTTATTTGCAAGGGCTAAGATTTAACTTTGCTTGAAGATATCTAAGTCAAAAAACAATAGGACAATAAATTCAAGTTGCTTTGAAACTTAGTTTTCTCCTAAAGAACTCTTACATCAAGGACAAAATCAAAACAAATGGGAAATATTTAGAAAATGACAACAATAACAAACAAAAGACTGTTAGCACCTAACAATAATGGCTAATATTTTTCCCAATTAACCCACATATCTAAGAAGCTCAGTGAGTAACAAACATAACAAAAAAATAAAACACACACACACACACACACACACACACACACACACACACACCCCAGAGAACATCACGATCAAATTGATGTAAAGTAGTAATAGACGCTAAATTCAAAAGGAGCCACAGAAGACACATTATGTACAGAATAAGAAAATTAAAAATGACAGCATACTTCTCATAAATAACACAATCCATAAAAAAAGTATTAGGAAGAAAAATGCCAACCTAGAATTCTATACCCAGCAAATACCTTTATAAATAAAAGGTAAAATAAACCATTTTTTAGGCATCAGAAAGCTAAGGGTTCACCACCTGCAGATCTGCACTATAAGAAATGTCAAGTAATTTCTTCAAGTGAAAGAAGATTATAACAGTTGGTAACTTTCAATCTACACAAAGGATAGAAGTGTGCCAGAAATGATAACATATATAAGTAAATACAAAAGCCATTTTTCTCATGGTTTAATCTCTTTAAAACACAAGTAACTACTTAATGCAAAAGTAATAAAAAGTATCGTGGATTTTAAAGTACATGGAAATAAAATACATGATAAAAATAGCACTCTAGAAAGGGGAGGGAAAATTGAAGTAACCTGTTGGAAATTTCTTATGCTATATATATATGAAGTTGTATAATACTGTTTGAAGATAGACTATAAAAATTTAAAGATTTATATTATAAATCCTAGAGCAACAACTGAAAAAGAACAGGCAAAGAGTTGTAGCTAATAAGCCAAAAGTGAAGATAAAACTTAATTATAAAAGAAACTCAATCATTCTAAAAGACTTAGAAAGAGGAAAAAAGAAACAAATATCTGATATAATAAATAGAAAAAAAATAGCAGGATGGCATATTTAAACTTCACCATATCAAAAAGTATACTAAATACAATTTATCTGAACATGTTGATTAAAAGAGCAAAAAAAATAATTTCAAAATGAAAAATGAGTCAATTCAATACGAATGTATAGCAATCCTATGTCTATATAGAACAATAGAACTTTAGAATAAATGAAGCAAAAAGTAAAAGTAGACAACCCCACAATTATAATTGCAAATTTTAACACTATTGACTCATAAGTGATAGAAAGAAGAGACAGCAAATTGGCAAATCATACAGAAAATCTGACCATCACTATCAAACAACTTGATCTCATTGATATTTATAGAACGTAGCATCCAAAGACAGTGCAATGCCATTAATTTCAAAGAACATACAACATAGTCCATAATCTAAGGCATAAAACGAATTTTTAAGTAATTTTACAAAGATTGAAATCAGATGACATCAGCAAGAGGGCAGAATAGGAAGCACCGGATATTCTCCCTCCATGGAGATATCAATTCAACATCAATACATGGAACAATTCCCTTGATGAGCAATCCAAAAGCTAGGTAAGAGTCTCCTGCATTCCAGAGAGGCATGGAACCAGCCACATCAAAACTGCTAGAGGAGTATACCTCACTCACTCACCAGAGCTCCTCACATCAGCACAGCATGGTGACTGAGGGGAAAATCCCAAGTCCTGGCTTCTCCCTGTGGAGAGAAAGAGAAGACTGAAACGTGCATTTAATGTGTAGACTTTTCAGGAGGCTACCTGAGGGACTAGTACTTGCTTTGCCTGAATCTGAGTGCTGGCAGAAAAGGGTCCCCAGTCAGGGGCCACTGAGGGGGAAAAAAAAAGTGACATTTTGCACTAGCACATACTCCCTTGCCATAGTCCTTATCCAAGGCTCAGTGTGGAATGAGTGGGAGAAAACTCCCAACTCCTGGATTATCCCCAGGGAGGAAAAGAGTTGAAGCATCCATCCAATAGTCTAGCTTGGGATTCAAGTGCTGCCCAAGGAACTGGCTTCTCTCTCACAAGTCTCAGAGAACTAAACTCGTATAAATGCCTGGGGGGCACTAGGTGGCTTACTGCTGCTCCAAAGAGCACATGGAACAACAAACAGGAAAATACAACTCAGCTGCTTTACTCACAGTGGGAAAAAGGGAAGAGTGGAGGGTTTGTCCAATATTCTGGATTTTAGGGTTGCTGCCTCAGGGACTGGTTTCTAATTTCTCCAACTCAGACTGTTGACAGGACCCAATGTACTCCAGATAACTGAGGACTTCTGAGAGCAAAAAACAGCTGGGCAACTTACAGCAACTCCAGAGAATCTACAGCACTACAAACAGATAACAGAGGGTGTAAGGATTTCTAAGCTTCAAGACAAATAAGTTTGTAAAACCTGTTTAATTGGGAATTTACACAGACAAGGCTGGAGAGAACATATCCACAGAAAGCTTGGAGAAGTCCCCAGAATCCCTTGTGGGGCAATTGGTAAAGATCTTTCTCTGTACTAAGACAGTCTATACAGACTGGAAGAGGTGTTTGATCCTAATACAAAGTATAAGGCATACAAAGGAACGGTAAAACATGACCCAAACAAAGGAATTAATATATCTCCAGAAACTCACCCTAAAGAAACAGAGATATAGGAATTACATGACAAAGAATTAAAAGTAACTGTCATAAAGATGCTCAATGAGCTCAGCGAAACAAGGCATGAATAAAACTGGAATGTTAACAAAGAGAAAATATTTTTAAAAACCAAGGAAATTTTAGAAGTGACCATAAAATAATTGAATTGAAAAATTCGGTAGAGGGGTTCAGTAACAGACTTGATCAAACAGAAGAAAGAATCAGTGAACTCAAAAACAGATCATTTTAAATTATCTAGTCAGAGGGGCAAAAAGATAAAAGAATGAATAAAAGTTAAGACAGTCTAAGGGAATTATGGGACACCACCAGCCAGAACAATATACTAATTATGGGAGTCCTAAAAGGAGAAGAGAGAGAAAGGGGAAGAAATCTTATTTGCAGAAATAATGGCCCAAAAAACTTTCTATATCTGGGTAAGGAAATGAGCATCTAGATCCAAAAAGGCCAACGGATTCCAAAGAGGATGAATTCAAAGAAGGATACACTGAAACACATTATAATCAAATTGTTAATAGTCAAAAACAAAGAGAGAATTTTGAAAGGAGCAAGAAAAAAGCAGCTTTGTCGTGTATAAGGGACCCTCCATAACACTATAAGCAGACTTTTCGGTAGAAACCATGCAGGACAGAAGGGAGCAGGATGATGTATTCAAAGTACTAGAACAAAAACTAACCACAAAGAACACTATCTATCTATCTATCTATCTATCTATCTATCTATCTATCTATAGCAAAACTGCCCTTAAATATTGAAGGAGAAATAATAAAGACTTTCTCAGAAAAACAGAAGCTTAGGGAGTCCTCACCACTAGAACTGCCTTTCAAGAAATGCTAAAAGGAGTCCTTTGAGGTGAAATGAAAGGAGAATAGATAGCACCATGAAAATATATGAAAGGATGAAGCTTGTTGGTAAAGGCAAATAAAGAAACAAATATAGAATACTGTAATACTATAATGGTGGTGAATCAATCACTTTTTTTTATTAAAAATTTTCTAATGTTTATTTTTTTTTTGAGAGAGAGACAGACAGAGTGTGAGTGGGGAGGGGCAGAGAGAGAGGAAGACACAGAATCCGAAGCAGGCTCCAGGCTTTGAGCTGTCAACAAAGAGCCTGACACAGGACTTAAACCCATGAACTGTGAGATCATGACCTGAGCCGAAGTTGGACACTTAACCAACTGAGTCACCCAGGCGCCCCTACAAGACTCACTTTAGATTTGAAAACACACATAGGCTGAGGGATGGAATAAGATAGTCCATGCAAATGGTAAACAAAAGAGTTCAGGAATGGCCACACTTATAATAGACAAAATAATCTTTAAACTCAAAGACTTTTACAGGAGACATAGAAGGGCATTATACAGTAATAAAAGGGTCAATTTACTAAAAATATATAACTGTAAACATATAGGAACCCAAATATATGAAGCAAAAATTGACAGAATTGAAGGTAGAAAGAGACAGCAACACAATACCAGTAGATTTCAATACACTTTCAATAATAGAACAACTAGACAGAAGATAAATAAGGAGGCAGAAGACTGGAATAACACTATAGAAGAAACGGACCCAACAGATACATACAGAGTATTTCACCCATTGGCAACAGAATTCACATTCTTCTCAAGTGTATTCAGAATATTTTCAAAGGTGTATTAGGGTCACAAAACACGTCAACAAATTTAAGAAAACTGAAATGATACCACATAGATTTTTTTTTCTGACCACATGGAATGAAACTAGAATCAAAGCAGAAGGGAAGCTCCAAAATTAACAACTATGTGGAAATGAAATAACGCATCCTGAGTAACCAATGAGTCAAAGAAGACATGAAAAGATAAATTAAAAAAATTTTGAGACAAAAACAAAACTACAATATGACAAAAGATGGGATTCAGCAGAAGCATTACTAACAAGAAATTTATAGCGCCAAATGCCCACATTTGAAAAAGAAGAAAGATCCCAAGTAAACAACCTAATTTTATATATCAAGGAACTAGAAAAAGAAGAATGAATGGATCCCAATAAAATCAGAAATGAAAGAGGAGACATTATAACTACTGATGCCAAAGGGAAAAAAAAAGGATTATAAGAGACTACTGTGTGCAATTAAATGCCAAAAAATGGATAAATTTCTAGACATATAAAATGTACCAAGACTGAATCATGAAGAAATAGAAAAATCTGAGCAAACATATAACTAATAAGGAGATTGAAACACTAATAAAAATCCTCCCAACAAAGAAAAGCCCAGGATCAAATGGTTTATTGCAGAATTCTATAAAACATCTATTTAGAATTAACATCAAGCCCTCTCAAACTCTTCCAAAAAATAGGAATGTTTCCAGACTCATTTTGTGAGGCTAGCATTATCCTGATACTAAAACTAGACGAAGACATTATAAGAAAACTATAGACCAATATCTTTGATGAATACAGATAACACTTAACAAAGTATTAGTGAACTGAATTTAATGACACATTAAAAGGCTCAATAAGCTATGACCAAGTGGGATTTATCCCTGGGAAGCCAGGATAAAAATTAATCAATGTGATACACGACATTACATAACAAAAAATAACAATCACATAATCATCTCAATAGATGCAGAGAAAGCATTTTACAAAATTCAATACCCTTTAACGATTAAAAAAAAAAAGTCAACAAACTAGGAATAGAAGGCAATCATCTCCACACAATAAAGTTCACATATGTAAAGCCCACAGCTAACATCATACTCAATGGTAAAAAGGCAAAGGCTTTCCTCTAAGATCAGTAAAAAGATAAAGGTGCCCATTCACCTCATCTACTCAACATAATACTGGAAGTCCTATACAGAGCAATTAAGCAAGAAAAAGAAAAGCCACTCAAATTGGAAAGGAATAAGTAAAATTATCTCTCTTCATTGATGATATAATATTTTTTTAATGTTTACTTTTAAGAGAGAGACCTGGGGAGGGGAAGGAAGACAGAGGATCTGAGGCAGGCTCCCTGCTGACAACAGAGACCATGATGTGGACTCATGAACCCTGAGATCATGACCTGAGCTGAAGTCAAACACTTAACTGACTGAGCCACCCAGGCTCATAATCTTGGAGAACACTAAAGGTTTCACCAAAAACAACAACAACAACAAGAAACCTCCCCCCAAACAAACACAGAAATACCTGTGAGAATAATCAAATTCAGCAATGTTGCAGGATACCATCAACACTCAAAAATCAGTTCCTTTTCTATACACTAACAATGAACAACCCAAAAAGGAAACCAAGAAAATGATACCCATTTACAATAACATCAAAAAGAATAAAATACTTGTGAATAAATTTAACCAAAGAGGTGAAGTGTATTTCAGCACACTGAAAACTATAAAATCATTGCTAAAAGAAATTAAAGAAGACACAGTAAATGAAAAGACATCCTGTATTCATGAATTAAAGGACTTAAAATTATTAAAAAGCTCATACCTACCCAAGTGGATCCAATGCATACTCTGCCAAATGGCAATTTTTTTTCAGAAATAGAAAAACTATCTGAAATCCAAAAGTTCATATGGAAGCACAGTTTTCAGGCCAAACAATCATGAGAAAAAAGGACAAAACAATCTTGAGAAAGAAAAAAAACTAGAGGCTTCACAGTTTCTGATTTAAAAACATTACAAACCTGCAGTAATCAAAACAATATGGCGCTGACAAGACAAACATATAAGCCAAAAGAACAGAATAGAGAGCCCAGAAATAAATCCATTCATGGATAGTCAAATAATCTTTAATAAGAATGCGAAGACTACACATGGGGAAAGGACAGTCTCTTCAACAAATTGTATTGGCAGTATTGTATTATATCCACATGCAAAAATGAAATTGAACTTACTTTACATTGTATACAAAAATCAACTAAAAGTGAATTAAAGACTTAAACATGTATCTAAAACTATCAAACTCCTAGAAGAAAAAATAAAGGGAACTCTCCATAACATTGATCTTACCAATGATTTCTTGGAAAAGATGCCAAAAGCACAGGCAATAAAAACATAACAGACAAGTGTGGC